TTAGCCAAGTCGGCGCTACGCGCCTGGTTGGCTATCTATCATCTCATATCCAACGCGCGCTCGTAGAATAATTGTTAAATATGTATTTCACCGTCATCTGATTCAGAGTAGTAGTACTGAATAATAAAAACAACAAAGCTGTAAACTACAGTGAGCAAACTAAACTTTAACAAAGAAAATGTCATCATGTTTTCAATATTAAATCATGTTATGGTCATAAGGATTAAAAGTATCAAAAGATTACTTGCCTGTCCTCGATATGCGCAAAGTACTGTAATTTCAGATGGACGCACCACTCCCCCTTTACAAAACTTTTTTGCAGCTTCCGTGATCATCCTAGCCTCAGTGGGGTTTCGCTTGCTATGTGAATCTTTTGACGGTTTCTCATCACTTTTGTGGAAGCAGAAGTACATGCTCTTCTCCACACAATGTGGGGGATTATACTTGCAAATGAGCTGAAGAATTAGAACGAAAATAAATTTGGAGCTCCGTAACTCTGTAAAAAATGAACTTCAACTCATTGCGGTTAAAGGAGTGATTTAATCCACCATGAAGTGCATGGGGTTGGCAGTAGGGTTAATAAACAGCGGGAATCATTAATGTAATTAACTTACAGGATTTATGTTTTTGATAGCTAAGAACATTGGTTCTCTCTTAACTTCACCAGGGAAAATACTGGTGAACACAAAAAATTTCCTTAAAAGAATTGTCTATTCATGGAAATCATAGACCTACACTGGAGTGTCTTACTAATGCATAAAAGCACACGACTCAACATCAAAGTAATGCCTACAGAGTGTCCTCCACCCGCGAGAAGGAATAGCCTTGGGATAGTCTCTATGCGATACTTCCTAGCATTTACCTCCGTCTTTGTTTTAAGCTCCTTGTAGATATTAAGTGATCGGAGCAAATCAACGATGTCCTCTCTCATTCGGCACTGATACTCAAGTTGCATTAAAGGAATGTCGCAGTTCACAAGTCGCTCAAACATGGAGACATCAAGGTGACAACTCCTTCGGAGTCTGGAGTTTTTTACCACAGGTTTCAGCTGCTTGTGATCACCAATCAAAATAAGGTGTTGAACGGAGGGTGGAATAGCTGCAACAAGTTGTCCCTCCAAGATTTCCGCTGCTTCTTCAACTATCATAACTGATGGCTTTATTTCCTCTGAAAGAATTTTAAACAACAACAAGTAACTTGTAAGTAGGTAGTCATTACCGTCATTCAGAACTATAGGTGGCGAATGAAAACTCCATTTAACCATAAACTTCTCTTTCTGATCATAAATATCTCATTTCCAGAATACCGTGCAATCTGAAGTTTTAATTTCGACAATAAAAATTCATTGCATAATACACCTATGGTAGACTATTTCAAGTGCTTTCGACTTCAAATCTCAAAATAATACCACGAATCAGTCGAACTGAAAGCATGATGTACGACTGGAATAAATACTCGCACAGTTACGGAATACCCTCCCAGTTTTAATAAAATCTCAATTTATAAAACGAGACATTGGATGTTTTAAAAGATGTATTTGACAAACGTAAATAATTTTATAATTTGGATATATCAACAAAGTTGAAATGGTAAATTGGCCACCGTAATGATTACAAAAGCTGACGTTTCGAGCGTTAGCCCTTCGTCGGAGCGAATGATTTTAGCGTGCTTACAAAGTCCACCCTTTATGTTTAGTGTTCTAAAAATTGGAAAACTAAATATCCCGTACGAAGTTCGTTAGATGAAGATGAAATGACCCTGCACCGGGACTACCGCCAACATAACAATAGGGACTTTAAGAAACCACGACGGCGACGCCAAGGAAGACTTCGATTAAAAAATGAATTTCTACTCTGTTAGAATTTCAAAAATGGCTGGAGGAGCTTACTGTCTCATACAGCGCCACAGCTCAACTTCAGCATGACGTATAGACTAGCCGTTGAGTTCCAAATGGAAATTAAAATAATTTGCCGTCGCGGTTTCGGTTCGCAGACGACGCAAATTTTGGCGATTTCACGTTGTTGTTTTGCATAGGACGGCTAAGAAATGTACAAAGTTTCAAAACGCACATGCTGAGCTATTGTTCTGCCAATTAGATCACTTGTTTTTCCACGTCCTCGTTGCCGTCGCCGTCGCCGTCGTGGTTTCTTAAGGTCCCTAATGACATCAACAACATCAACAACAACAACAACAACAACAAATACCAGTAGAACGTATAGTTAGATTACCCAGCAGATTAGCTCTCATGGCTGCACCAGTCACTGTCATACCAAGAATTTCACAGTTCTTCATCACATCAATATCGTGCTTATTTCTCAACGCCGCATACTGTTGATGTTTCTGTGGATAAGATCAACAGTAAAAATTAAAGAAAGAAAAGGCGCAGAGCCATTGTTCTTGGAAGATACTCCATACCTCGGCAAGTATTAGTACCTAGATGAAGTGATCAAAAACCTCACTACAAAAGCGGTATAAAAATTCAAAATAGTGAGTTAGCTCTTAACTGGCTAAAGGGGACTCCGGAACAAAAATAAATATTCTAGATTAATACGCCATTGCGCAGAGTATATATTCATTATTAGGAGAACAAGGAAGAACGTTTTGTTATATGAACGGCTTCACTGATAGCCGACCCAATTTTACAGGAAAGGTGGGTTATACACAATTTTTTTCATCAATTTGGCTCTTCTTACAACATGATACACCACTGATGACAAATAAGCTATCGAACAATTTATTACTTACAATGCTAATTGCTTATATACTTATAGATGACCAACTGAATAGGAGAGGACATGTCCAAATCTGTACATTTTTCTGTTTTTAAGAGATTGTTATGACCTCTACTTCACTGTGAAAACATGTTTTTGAAAGTACGTCTTTTTGTGGGTAAGGGAGGTATAAAACTTCTAGCGAAAAACATTCAACAAGGTTTTCACTAGGTGAGGTTAATACTGTCACAATCAAAACTCGTGTGTTTACCTCCAGGGTCTCTCTGCTCACATTAAGAAACTCCTTACGGGCTTTTTCAGCATACAAGCTTTGAAAAGCATACACAAGCTTAATTCTTGCATGCTCATCGAGAGCCCAGATATTTGTGTCACCTGAGTATCTTTTGAAGGGTGCAACTCCTACCAAAAGATTACATGTCAGATTATAACAACGGTTTGAAACGCATCATTCTTATTAGCCTTTAAAAGAAATGCTCTTGCGTTGCATGACATGCAATGGAGACTGAGATGTTATGATCTGGTTTGCGACCATTACAGTAGTTATTCAGTTACCAGCTATTAAATTATCAGCCTGGGATGTTGCATTCCTAGCGTTCTGATTGGTTCAGTCAATCTAAGTTATCGAATCATATAACAAAGTCTATACATATATGGAAAATGATTATTGTTGATCGTTGCTACTGGAAACTAGATTCAACTTCTTGACCCAAATTCAAGTGAGTAAGAGGGTAATCACCTTAACATTGAAAAGATAATTAAAAAAAAAAAAATACAAAAAAAACACCGAGAAAAAAAAAACACGTCACTTTAAAAAGTACAACTTTAAGCGATAACACTCACTTCTATCATCCATTGCGATAAGTTTTCGTTCTCCAGATGTGTCATACGGTCTGGTATCAGAAATACCTTGCATATCGTCAGAAGGAAGGTCGTCCTCTAAGGCTGAGGACATTCGTTCATTTTCCTCCACAGAAGGCTCTCTGAAATTTTCGAAGTTTTCCTCCTCTTGATCTAGTTTTCGCTGTCTTGCTCTACATGTAGCAGAGCGGAGATTAACATATTAACCTAACAAATTAGATCTCAGACCTACCCAAAGCCTACTTTCAACTACCAAGTTTTGCAGTTTTTAGCTTGTTACTTTACGAAAATAGACGACAGTTACTAACAGGTAGTATAATGACAAAGAAATCAAAATATGTATAATCATTCAAAAAGTGTATAATCACTCCAAATAAACTTATGTGGGGTGTCCTTAAGTTAAAAATTTTAAGAAGATTAGATGGTTAGATTTAATCCCCCATCCAGCAGAGTCTATTTTGCGATTGACTGTGGACCTTAAAGAGGCTAACATTTAAAGGTGGTATATCAGTATTGTAAGATGCCTCACACAATATATAGATTTAATGCGGATATCTGGAGTCAAGTTTGGACTTCTGCACTTTCATACACACAACAGATCAAATAGACACTAACATCCTGAGCGCTGTGGTCTTATTACCACTGGGGAAGGACTAATAATTATGCAAGCGGCGAGTGTCGGCTGAGCACTTTTTTTTCAGTCGCCAGATGAAAAAATTTGGTCGACAAAAAGTTCAAAGGCTGAAAGTTTCTAAAGAAACTGTGGTGCTAGGTCGGGGGGGGGCGGTAACAAGGTAATCTGGTTGTATCAACTAAGCTCCAATTGTAAATTGACCACCGTAACGAGTAAAAAAGCTGACGTTTCGAGCGTTAGCCCTTCGTCAGAGCAAATGGAAGAATTTTGGGTTGTATGTGGGTTATATGCAAAAGGCGGAGCTACACCATTGGTGAGAACATAGCGACGAGAAAAACCCGAATAAATTAGTGGAATGAAAAGCTTTCGTTGATACCTGTGGGATTAAGAGTGCCGATTTGAAAGATAAACTTTTGTTCAAGAGTTTTGCGGCTTTCCGTGTTACCTAAATATAAGGAAAGACCGCAGATTGCCATACGTTGCTTAAAATGATTAGGTAGAGTTCAGGACATTAAATCTCTTTACACTGTCATTCTTAATGGCGAAAGTCTTCTGGCCTTCAAACATTTTTTTGATCAACGCACTGTTAAGGAACTTAACTCTGAAACCTTACTTCGCTTAGCTGGACTAGTGCTCACACCTATGGCGTAGCCATGGGTACCAAAATGGGACCCAGCTATTCCAATCTTTTTGTAGGTTTTTTGAACACCAGTTTTTTTAACCAATACATTGGCCCCAAACCTGAATTCGACTGTATAGGCGCTACCTCCTCGACCAGAGAGGAGCTAACTCAATTCAAAACCGCAGTCAATTCTTTACACCCGGCTCTAAAATATACCAAGGAAATTTCCGACAGTTCTTTATCATTTTTAGATATCAAAGTTTCAATTGAAGGCAACGGTTTATGCACAAGTGTATATTACAAACCTACAGACTCACATAGTTACTTGTTGTATTCATCTTCGCGTCCATCTCATGTTAAGAATTCCATTCCCTTTTCTCAGTTTCTAAGATTTCGTCGTTTATGTAGTGATGACTCTGATTTCCACCACAAATCAGAGTCAATGTGCCAGTTTTTCGAAAAACCTGGTTACCCTGTTTCTGTCGTTCAAGCAGGTCACCACAGCACCCAACTTATTGCTCGACAGTCAGCACTACAAACGCACAGAGGGAAAATTCTGACCGCATTCCATTCACTCTCACGTTTCATCCTCATAACCACTCAGTTAAATCCATTATTCTTAAAAACTTTAAATTACTTCAAAACGATCCAGGGACTGGCACTATCTTTTCGCAACCTCCACTTATTTCATTCAAATGCGACAAAAACTTGGCAATTTATTGGTCAGAATGACCAACCCGGCACTTTTAAATGCGCTCGCTCACGATGCAAAACTTGTCCTTTCATTCAGAACGCTGAGAAAATATCGGGACCCAAGCGACCATTAAGATCACCGATCACTTCACGTGCACCTCCGCCAACATGATCAATTGCATAATTTGAACTTATTGCAAAAAGTTCTACATCGGCGAAACAGAAAGACGACTTGGTGACCGATCCCGAGAACACCTTCGCGACGTAGAAAGGAATGACAAGGACGCATCAAAACCAGTCGCTAGACACTTTAATTTACCTAATCATTCGAAGCAACATATGGCAATCTGCGGTCTTTCCTTACATTTAGGTAACACGGAAAGCCGCAAAACTCTTCAACAAAAGTTTATCTTTCAAATCGGCACTCTTATTTATCCACTAATTTATTCGTGCTTTTCTCGTCGCCATGTTCCCACCTATGGCGTTGCTCCGCTTTCTGCATATAACCGGCAAAAAAATTCAGTTCGTAAGATTTTTGCCTCACAGCAAAATAGGAAAACGTGGCGTTACGTTTCTGACATGTAAATGTCTTCAAATCTTGAATGAGTTTCCGAGCACTTTCTTCCCCACTTTATCAACAAACAAATTTTGAAGACTTGCAGAGCGCCAGGCAAGTAAAAGTTTGCGCAATGCGCTAACGGTATGACTGTCACACAACTCCGGTGAAAACATGGCGTCTAGCCTCAAGATTCTGGTCATACACATTAAATTTGCATGCGCATTGACGAATAGCTGCTCTAAATTTCGGACTCTTAAGTCACTCTAAAAAAAGAATTAAGAGAATTCGCGTGATTCTCGCTGTTGTAAGTTATTTCCTTAGTTAAACTAGAATGAAACTGGTTCCTTCCGGTAAATTCCTATGTAGAGAAATGCACTTCGCTCCCTTTCTGCAGTTACGACCTTTGCAGTACCAATGAGCAAAGCTGCATTCATTGGAAATACAGATAAGTTTTGTTTCGTTTCAGGGTAAGTAACCGAAAGTGTCTCGCAAAAATTTTCTCTGTTTACACTGTTTCTGTCAAAAAATAATAAAAGGAAGCATCATGAGTACCTTGCACGCTGTGACTTTGTGCATTCTTCGTTAGTAACTGAGTGTGACGGCTTGCCACTCGCTCCTGGGAATCCATTCTCACTGGCAAACCGATAAAATTTCTCTTGAGGAGGAAGCCACTGCTCTAGTGCTTCTCTTATAAGCCCGATAACAAAAGACACAGAGATTTTCTTGAAATTAAGGAAGTCAGACGAACAAACTAATGATATCACCAAAGACATACAGGGCTCGACACTCACCTTTTCAACTCACAAGCCAAGTGGCTGGTGGCCTCTTACTGAAATGTTACGACAATTTCAGTTTGTTTAATAGCCTAACTGGGTGGTGGAAATCGAAAACCAGTAACTAAAACTGAATTTCTACTAGTGTGGGGCTAGTCGGCTACTGTTAGTATGGAGCCCTGACATATATTGAAGCAAAACATTAAGTATCGCCACGAGTCACTTTTATGGAACATCAGTTCAATTGCGTTCTAAAATTCTTTTCAAAGAAAGAAAAAGAATATTTTTTGAGAAAACATACAGATGTCAATAGGGTTGTCCCTAAGCACCGGCAGCCGGCGAAATTTGCCGGATGAGAAAGAGGCAATCGCCGGCTGAATGTTGGCTGGTAATCGCTCGACAGACGAGTCTTGATTTTTTACATTTTAAGTGAAATATACCTTGCCGTTTGAACAAAAAGGCGAAAATAAATACCGAACTACATCTAAGCCGCAAAATTGTTAAAGGTGAAATGAAGTATTGCTTTGAATGCCCTGGTCTTAACTTATCTATAGTTTCTCTCTCTCTCTCTCTCTCTCTCTCTCAGCTTCGGATCGCCATTTTGTAAACTCAGAGCTTGGTAGCCCCACAATCAAGATGTTGCCAAAGACGGGACACAGCCAGCTGAATGGCTTCCTCGACCGGCAGGCCATTTTCTTACCTACGATCTTGGGCTAAGTAAACAAAGTTAACAGATAATATATTTCAGCACCTTTCGAGTGTGATTTATACGATCCGTCCATGTTTCTCTCTTTGAGTAGCTTGTCCACCTCAGCTTGGTCAATTGATCCTATCTCCGTATTTACCAGGAGTGCCCTAACCTGTTTTTCATTGGCTGTCTTAAAAGAGAAATGCCACCAATTGAAAAATTTAATTTACAGAGTGGATAAGAGGGACACAAACTCTACCTTCCGCCAAATAGTAATCGTATAACAACATTATCCACCCTTTATACAATCAGAACTTATATTAAAATTGGGGGGAATGCAAGACTCTTAAAATGAAATCCCAGCCTCATCGCTTACTTGATGGGGGAATGAGTTACAGACTCCTGCTTATCCACCATCGACCAACCGTCTTCCATCGAGTTTCAATCGAACATGTACGTCAATCATGCAATACGTCAATTTTAAATCATGCCGTCATCTACATTTTGTGTTCTCCTGCATTACGATAGTCTTAGCCATGTTAGCTTAAAGTGCACCTAAACCCAAAATTTTTTTTCGCTTAACGAAATAAGCGTATTTTTTGGAATATTTCTGAGCAAACATTCTTTGATTTGCTCAAATCTTCAATTGTCTGTGCCCAGTCAAAATACGGAAAATCGGCCGCCATCTTGCCCCACGGCCGAGTTTAAAGAGGAATGGCTCTAGCGGGTAATGTGACGTCAAATCGAGAACACGAAAGTCTGCATTTCACACATTTTCGCTTGTTTGGGAAGGTTGTAGTCGATTTTGTCCGAAAATATGCCGACTAAGTGTGTTGTAGGAGGATGTAGCAACGTGCGAAATTTGCAAGAGGGTATCACGCTTCATACATTCCTCATACAACACACCTGGTCGGCATATTTCGGACAATATCGACCACAACCTTCCCAAACAAGTGAAAATGTGTGAAAAGCAGACTTTCGTGTTCTCGATTTGACGTCACATTATCCGCTAGAGCCATTCCTCTTTAAACTCGGTCGTGGGGCAAGATGGCGGCCGATTTTCCGTATTTTGACTGGGCACAGACAATTGAAGATTTGAGCAAATCAAAGAATGTTTGCTCAGAAATATTCCAAAAAATACGCTTATTTCGTTAAGCGAAAAAAAATTTTGGGTTTAGGTGCACTTTAAGCTAACATGGCTAAGACTATCGTAATGCAGGAGAACACAAAATGTAGATGACGGCATGATTTAAAATTGACGTATTGCATGATTGACGTACATGTTCGATTGAAACTCGATGGAAGACGGTTGGTCGATGGTGGATAAGCAGGAGTCTGTAACTCATTCCCCCATCAAGTAAGCGATGAGGCTGGGATTTCATTTTAAGAGTCTTGCATTCCCCCCAATTTTAATATAAGTTCTGATTGTATAAAGGGTGGATAATGTTGTTATACGATTACTATTTGGCGGAAGGTAGAGTTTGTGTCCCTCTTATCCACTCTGTAAATTAAATTTTTCAATTGGTGGCATTTCTCTTTTAAGACAGCCAATGAAAAACAGGTTAGGGCACTCCTGGTAAATACGGAGATAGGATCAATTGACCAAGCTGAGGTGGACAAGCTACTCAAAGAGAGAAACATGGACGGATCGTATAAATCACACTCGAAAGGTGCTGNACATGTACTTTGTGAAATGGTGATCAAAGACAGAAAATTAGCCTTTTTGAACTAATTCTAACATCAATGTCTGGCTAAAAAACCTAACTCAAATATGTTCCATAATGCTGGAAACTTAAGTTTAGTTTAAGTTTAATTCATTCGCCACAGGAATGGCAGGAGAAAGGAACAGAACTTTCGTTCCAATTGACACCTAACCCCTTTTTTACCCACCCATCCCACCCCGGGGAGGACATCCATCACACAGTAATCTCGTGTGTGGGAAATTAACGTCTCCTACCCCAACCCTGCAGGAGACGGGACCTCCATTTATCGTCCCTATCCGAGAAGACTAGAAAGTCTAACCATTTGCAGATATTATTACAAAGGCAGCACTTTCTTCTCAGTTAATTAAAGACCCTGAGTGTTGGTCCGGCCGGATTTGAACTCACGACCTCCCGCACAACAATCCGGCGCTCTACCAATTGAGCTAACTGGGAGGCAATTTAAGTGACTGCAAAAAGAGGCCTTAAAAAAATTCAGCCTTTAAAAATTGTGTTTAAGACCATCCTTTGTCACTTGAAATTACTGAATCGCAATCTCATATCTTGACTGCCACTTTAACACATAGATCCTCACCTGGATGAACATCTCAACATTAAAAACCCAGGAACCCTGAAGCTTCAAGTATGCCTCCTTCACGTGATCTTGCATACTTTGCAGTTGAACTCTAAGCTTTTCCATGTGCGTTTTGAGAACTTCGGACCACACAAACTTTAACTTTACCTTTAGACGTAATTTAAAAGGAAAACTTTCAAATTAAATATCAAAGAGTTCCTTACGTATCTTTAAGAGTAAAAATGTACCCTACACGCAGGCTTATTCCTGGCAGTTTCTTTGCCTGTAAGTAATTTAAGGGGTCTGGCACTAATAAGGAGTGCCAAGCCATTACAGACCTCTCGCCGGCTCACTTTGCTCAATTAAGGCACCATCCCTTCACGTGAGCGAAATACAAAGCTGACGCCGCAACGCTTTTAAGGAGGGCCTATTTGGAGGCTAATGCTACCGGGCATGCATCAAATTTCAACTCCACGTAAACTGCTTACTACGAAAAAATAAAGTGAAAACTCTAAGGAATGGCGAGTAAAATAGTCAAAATTCAGTCATTTAAAGAAAAGGCTCGGTTGAGCAAAACGTTTCAAAGGTTCATTTTTGATCTCGATCTTCTCTTATCTGTCCCTCAGAATACCACGTGTTGCAACTACATAGATAGCTTAACCGAGTCGTTCAAAGAACATTCGGCACTAATCCCAATTCAAACATCAAGGCAATGAATTGTTTTTGTGTACAGCTAACCCAAGATTACTGTAAATCAAGTTTCAAACGGCCTGGCAGCCTGGTAGATCCAACAAATCTTACCTTAGCCAAGAGACAGTCCTTCAACCTATCTGAGCTTGATCCCTTTCCAACACGAATAATCCTGGGCCTAGGTGATAAACCTTGACACTCTTCAAGGAAATGGTCTAACGCATTATTCTTGTAAGTGACAACCTTTGAATAATCCCGTAAAATACAAGGGTGAGAAAAGATAAAAAAAACACATTAGCAAACCTATAGCCCACAGAAATCTATTGAGAGGAAAAGATACGAGAGCAGGTGACTTCTCCACCCGAATCCTAGTTGATCGTTTTCGCTGCGGCGTTTACAAAGGCTAAAAACCCATTTTAAACATTTCAAGATCTGTGTATGTCACACCATTTTGAGCTCTTACCTCGATTTGTGAGCATATCGTAACAATTATGGGAACCTAGCCTCTACGGAACTGAAAACGATCGCAATGAATCTTTCAGGGTCACGCCTTGGGAAATTTTTTGCTAAAGATTCACTTTTTACTTTTCGTGCCCTTTTAATTCTTTTATCGACAAGTACCAAGTCGACGTAGTACATATACACCTAACAAACATATAACAAACTACTCACAGATACAAAAGGCCCTGTTTTCCCATTTAGTGCATTGCATATACCATATCAGATGAAATATTGTCCACCTAAGGGCCGGGTTCAACAGAGGGGAGAGGCATGATTAATTTTGTCCGTTCATAGAACGGGTACGGTTAAAAATTAAGAGGGGGTTGATCAGAGAGATTATGGTGAATTGCATTCTCAATATACTTCAAATACTTACCAAAATGGGTCCAAATGTCTTTGGTACATACATTGATAGCAGAAGATGAACAAGAGACACACCAACAAAAGATTTCCCAGTTCCTGGAGGTCCCTACATGAAAAATAAGAATTTAAGGATATTGCTACATGTAAGCCATTTTTATTCAAAAATTACAAAAATAGTGTTTGTCGGAATTTACCATGATTTCTCAATCAAACTACTCAAAGCATTATCCACAATGCAGTCAAATGTTGGGAATTTTATTGCGGGATAGGATATTTTTCACCCTTCTCAGATTTTTATCAAGGTATATGCGTGAGATCTGCAAAACGCAAGCTGAAAGCTTTTCTTCCTTGGTTACTTTCGAGACATGATCTCCCTTAAGTAATCAACAATATCAACAATATCAACCAGTAAAATGCAATCATACCTGAATTAAGGCCACTTTGTTCTTAAATGTAAGGTCAATTGCATCACGTTGTGTATCATCCAGTTTTGCCTTGGTACTTGAAAATTTTATCCTTTCAAAGTCATCCACAAGTGAGTACACTGAAGACTCATCTTGGTCACGTGACTTTGGTGGAGACTCAAATATGATTGCCCAGTCAGGAGGAGCTTTTACTTTACTAATGTAGTCAGCTTGGCACATGCGTTTGGCCTCTGGATACACTAGGAACTCTTTGAATGGAACAGAATCTGGAAAACATCCGTCAAAAATTAATCACAAACGTAGGTGCTAACAAAAGCAAATGAAGTACATCATATGACCCGCCTGGCTCCGCTCGCGCAATCCCACAGAAAACTATATAAAAGCTGGCGTGTGTAGGGCTGGACTGGTTGACGTAAGCCGCTCTGGAGAAGACCGTCCGGCCCTAGTGCACTTGTACGTCCTTCTTACAAAAAAAAAAAAAATTTTACGCGCTTGGTCCGTACGTCATGACCTCGAGCCAAATTAGTTAACCGTCCGGCCTCCCACTCAATCAATAAGTAAGGATCGAGTCTTGGAAAACAAATGCGTAGGATCTTTCTAAGACCTCAAAAAATTAAAAATTCCAACAAAATTTGCACTTGATAAAGTCAACAGCATAGTGGAAATGGACAACTTGAACATTACTGCTTGGAAGTTAGCAGACCAAACGCTTATTATACATGTGTATGTATATATATGTGTGTGTATACATACATATATATATATATAATTATATATTGTAGTACACGAGGACGGACAACTTCGAGCTAAGAAAGACATATACTCAAATAAAAAGTCTAAGAAAGTTTAATAAAATACGTTTCGGTCCGAGACCTTCATCAGTTGTAATACAATGACTTACAAATTCCTTAAATAGATTTATGTAGGGCGTGATGACACATATAAACAAACACAGTAATTACTACGCGAAAAATTATCACAATAAAAAGAAATGGAAAAATTGTCGAATCCACTGAAAGTGTTAAGGAACCAGCGTTGACTTGAAAGG